AATCTATTTTAAGATATAAAATGAAAATAAAGAAATAAAAATGGTCTTGGATTGTTATAAAAAAAGTTGTAATCTAGGTTTTATTTAATGACTATAATTTGTATAATAACTTTTAGATTAATAATCTGTTTAATTAGATTTTTAAAAATCAGATATAAAAATGTATATCTAAAACAAATAGATTTTTGCTATAATATACTACCCAGAATGCTTTGCTCTACAGAACTGACAAGAACATTGAGATCCCTAGGGCGACTGGATGCTAGTGTCAGCACACCATATAAAATAAATCACATACATTTATTTGCACGCCATGGCTCATCATCTATCCATCCTTGTGAGGCTGAGGACAGTTTTAAAGCTCAAACTAATACACTCTTTTATGGAAAAATTAAGTGCTTTCACACACACACACAAAAAAAAGAGTTTCACATTCCAGCTTCATATTCATCCAAAAGCGACTTCTACTTCTACAAAAAAAAAAAAAAAAAAACTACAAAACTAAAGGATGAGACAAATGTATTTTCTATGGTGATTAACATTATGCAGCTCAATTTATATTGAGCCCATAACGTTGTTTCAAGGTGGCATTAATGCTTTCTGTTGTTTCACCAGCTGTTCAACACAAAGACACCTCACCTGTTAACATGGGTTCTGGTGCGTCCACTTCCAGTCTGGCTGGAGACTTCCTCACCCCTCCGGCCTCTGCTGATGTCGCCGCTGACATCGCTAAGTACACCACTAAGGTGAGTCAGATATTCACTTCTGATGTAAAGACTGGTCAATCAAACTATTCAGTTAAATAAGCACATTAGTACAATGAACACCTCCAAAAAGCAATAGAGCATTTTCTTCATCTGAATTTTTTAAGTAGTATGTTTTCAAATGCAAAACCTTGATTGCAGGCCACAGCTACAGCTGCAAATTTATAAGACCTTAAGAAAATTATTGGTTACACTTTATTTCGAGAGTCCACTTTAGACATTCTACTAACTATAAGTAACTTTGTAACTACATGTCAACTACATGTCAACTAATTCTCATTAATTTGCAACTACATGTCTACTAACTCTCAGAGTAGACTGTTAGGGTAGGTTTAGGGTTAGTAGAATAAGTTGACAAAGAAAGTGTTAGAAGATATTAAGCAGACAGTCTACTAATACTCTACTAACTGCTAGTTGACATGTAGTTGAACAGTTACTTACTGCTAATAGAATGTCTAAAGTGGACTATCGAAATAAAGTGTTACCAAATTATTTTAAAAAGTGAAACTATATAGATATAGTTCTAGTGTGTAAATTCATTATATGGTATGAATTGGTTTTTGGATATTTAACTTAATTGATCCTTGCTGAATAACTAGTACTTAAATTTTGCCTAAATAATTTTAAAATCGATGATGAAATTGACTGTTGTCTGTTTCCCATCATAATGGCAGATGATGGATGTGATTAAGGGAACAATGACAGAGATATACAATGACCTCTCTAAGAGCACGACGGGGAACACCATTGCAGAGGTTTGTGCTTTTATGTCACTTCTGCTTGATTTTATTCCACCATTCATACTCTTTCTCAATATGTATTTTATTTAAAAAAATGAATTTATAGGTTGTACACTTATGGGTTGCAGGTTGACAGATTGAATTTCTATAATGGCAATACTTTGTTATGGTTCTCTTGGGTGACATTCTCTGTGGATTTTGTTGCAGATCCGGCGGTTGCGGATTGAGATTGAGAAACTCCAGTGGTTGCATCAGCAGGAGCTGTCAGAGATGAAACATAACCTCGGTAACTCTCCTTTATGACTTACAATAGCACTGCAAACTGCATTATGGGAGTTTTGTGATAGCCAATGCTTTTGTTAGATAACATTTACAGAGAATAGGTCACTAAACTCCTTTCCTACAAGTTATGGATGAGCAAGCCAGAGCTTCAACCACTAATGTATCACTATTGTGTGTGTGTGTGTGTGTGTATGTGTGTGTAGAGCTGACCATGGCTGAAATGAGGCAGAGTCTGGAGCAGGAGAGAGAACGGCTGGTGTCAGAGGTGAAGAAACAGATGGAGATGGAGAAACAGCAGGCGGTGGACGAGACCAAGAAGAAGCAGTGGTGTGCCAACTGCAAGAAAGAGGCCATTTTCTACTGCTGCTGGAACACAAGTTACTGCGACTACCCCTGCCAGCAGGCACACTGGCCCGAACACATGAAATCCTGCACACAGTCAGGTAACCAGTTCTACACCTTGCTCTCTTTTTCTGTTTTTGGCCTTTTACACTCTTAATAATAAAGGTTCTTTATTGGAGTCAATGGTTCCATGAAGAACCTTTATCATCAATGAAAACTTTCTATTGTACAAAAGGTTCTTCACACTAATTGTTTGTTTCAATGGCATTGCTATAAAAACCTGCTTTTGGAACTTTTATTTCCAAGAGTGTGCCACTTTTACCAAAAGACTAGAAGAGAGAAGACAGGAAATGACAGGGATCAAGAAGTCTTACAGGCCAGATTCAAACTTTTATTGCCCAAAATAGCACCAAAGCTCAGTGTGTCAGTACGTACCAAATGCAAGACCACAACTCTGAATGGCTATGTTCAGAAACTAACATACCACTTCTGCACTATTTCTCCAGTGTATATAGTGTGTATACTGTACACAGTATGCGATTTTTGTATACATGGAATATATATGGCAAAAAGTGCAGTATACAACAGAGCAAAAACTGCAGTATACATTGCATTTTCATTTCCACAGTGTAATTTTGTCATTTTTAAAAATTTTATTTTACTTTTTATAGTCTGTGATGTTAAGACATTTTACTTAAAATACTAAAAAAAAAAAATAATAATTTTAATTCCAAAATGATAACTGGATGGCACTAACGTCGTAGATAGAATATCTACCATTTTACTTTTTTTCCTCATTTTATTTACCATTTACTATAGACCCTTTTCAAGTTAGGGGGTTTCTCAGAAACAATCGTCATATTTGGGTAAACTTCTATAATGGTGAATAGAAACTTCAACAAATATGATTTTTGCGTTCTGATTTGCCCCAATAACGAAAGAAAGAAAAAAAAAAACAATAGCGTTTCTATGACTTTTTCCAAAAGAAGGAAAAAATATTGAGAAACTGTTGGTCATAAGAGAGAAAGCTGTCAAATTTGCCGTCACTCTCTCAGCTGTTGTATTAGAAACACTCATGCAACAGCGTTAACCTTTTTTTATTTATTTAATTATATTTGTAATTTAATGGCAAGGTAATAAAACACAAAAATATAGTGTTATAAATGTACATTACATTGTTAAAAAATTTAAATAACCTGCTGTATTTACAGTGTTAATAACTGTGAAAACACATCAGAACAGTCTGTGAAAAGGGTCAATTTTTAGACTAGTAGGCAGTATACAGTATATACTGTGCCGTTATCAGTATATAGTAAGATAATATTCCATTCTGAACATAGCCACTCTCTGTTTTCTTTTGCATTTATTAGTGAATAGCAATTGTCTTAATAATTTTCTCTTTTTTATCTCCTTAGCTACCGCAACTCAGCAGGAAGCTGAAACAGAAGCCAGTTCGGACGCAGCGGGAAAACCTGTAGGACAGTCCCCTAAAACCCAGCCTTCACCAACCGGAGAAAGAACATCACCCCCAAACCGAGGACCCTCCCCTTTCACAGACAACAATAAAGGCAGCTCCTCCATGGCTGTCTCATAACCCGAGTGTGAAATATTTTTTTTATCATTAGAACGGTGCCATTCAAAGAGGGTCAGATATTAACACCAAAGGACCTTGACTCATTTCAAACAGATTTGTTTCTTGTTCAGTGTGATCATGACATGATGTCACTTCCTGTTCACTACATCCAACACAACATTCGGATAATGCCTATAAAAGTTTGATTCATTTCTACGTACATTTCGTATTTGAATTTGTGACTTGTTTAGTACAAAGACAGGAACACCCTTTGATATAAAATATGCAACTGTAAAACTGTTGTCCTTTTTTTATACATATCAACTTTTGTAAACTTCAACAAATGTGTTTGATCAATATAATTTTTTTTCTCTTAATGTAAAAGATGCACTTAGAAGTTTCAGAGAAAGAGTAAGTTCATTTTATCAAATGAAGAGCGTGTTTGTACAAGGTCAAAAACTTACGGAATATGATTGTTAGTACTAATGGATTGTCACTACGTTTTTTTTTGTTTTTTTGTTTTTTGAAAGATTGAAAGATTTAATTCTTTAATATCTTTCACCCACGAAAGGCTTCTTGACAAATAAATAAACAAAAACGAGCAAAAGTCTAGAGGAGTAAAGGAAAAGATTATACTTATTGTGGGCATGTTTCTTTTTTCTCTTGTCTTGTGGACTCTCTTGTTTACATACTGTAAATACAAAAGAATAAGCAGAGATGATATCTGTAAGAAAAATAAAGTCTTCATGAGACAAATCTTTGGTGTTTTACACATTTGTGTCAAGAATAGCTGTGAATGCATGCGGTAACACTTTAGTTTAGGGACCAATTCAACTAGTTGCTTATCGGCAAACATATTAATAGCATATTGGCTGTTTATTAGTACTTACAAAGCACATATTAATGCCTTATTTTGCATGACCATATTTTAGATCCTTTAATCCTACCCTATTCCTAAACTTAACAACTACCTTACTAACTATTAATAAGCAGCTAATTTGGAGTTTATTGAGACAAAAGTCGTTAATAGTTAGTAAATAGTAAGAATCGGTCCCCAAATTAAAGCGTGACCTCCCTTATACATTCTTTGTGCATTTGACCAGTTATGGTTCTATATGGATATATAAGGATCTATCAAATACATCAATAATTATTTATTATTTTAAAAAAATATTTGTATTTAGCTTACATCAATAAAATCTTATTTTAGCATAAATACAATTCCCTCAATATATTACCAAATAAAAGCAATGAGACGGAAAGACTCTTATTTTGTCAAGTATTTTGCCACCATGTTTTCCCTACGTATCTGTACGTGATGACGCAAGTCGCCCAAAGAACAAACCGACGCATGATCTGAGAGAAAGAGACGCCGGTGAACAAGAGGTAAAACTCGGCTGAGAAATCTCAGATACCGTTAGATATTCTTCCTTTGCTTTTATCTGTAAATTAATGACACGGAGAGATAGCTTATGTCGTGACAACGTCGTTAAAGCGTTATATACCCATCGGAAATGGTTTTAATTTAAACGAGTGCGCTGAAATGAACGGTTAGCCCCGGCCGCTAAAGGAAGCTGCTGCTGATGTTTTATGGGACAAAGAATTAGCTGGGCTTGTCTTATATTTCGTTCGGTACTCTGGTCTATGAGGCCGGTGTTTGAGGTTTGAATAAATACGTATATTCATTTTAGCCTCCTTGTTGAAATAAGTATCGGTAGCACGTCTGTTATAAGGGTTATAGAGGGGAAGGCGAGGCCTGGATGTAGATGAGCAGCTGAGGCGGTGTGTGCCTGAAGGGCTGTGTCTCAAAACCCTGCGAGCTGCCTACAAAGAAAGCATCTTGGCCGTCAAATGCGCATTATAATCAAATTAAAATGACTTCGAATAAAATGCTGTCTAGGTAGGGCAGCTTATTAGGTTTTAGGGCACAGACAAAGTGACTGACATTACTGCTGTCAATTTCTCAACATTTGCTTAGCTGTCTGGAGACTCTGGCTGGCTTAATGCCATTACGATATATTACAAATCCGTTTTTCTTCATAGTGTATATCACACAATGTGGGTTCACCCAGAGGCACATCTTCATAGTGCTCATTCTGTTGGATATCAATGCTTTTGGTGACTAGAAAGACTATTTATTTCTTAAAAGCAAGAACATTGTGTTTGGTTTATGTATATTATATTTATGTGGTTGGTTTTGTGATCCGCCTATACAAAACCAACCACATAAACATAATATACATAAACCAAACACAATGTTCAAAGAGGAAATCTCAGATTTATCATCCATGATACGCTTCCTTAAGAGTCACCCATGTGGTAAAATTCGTTCATTGCAGTGTTTATGTTTCTTTATACTCTTGTCAAGGTTAATGTATGATAGTTGAGCATCCTTTATAGTAAAATTGAGATTTTGACAGAATAAGTCTTATATTATAATATTACGTTCATCAATATTAACTAATTAATTAATTATTCATTTTCAGTCTACGTCAGCACATGGTTACTCAACATGATGTCTCATTTATCTCTTGCTTCGTTCTAGGACATGGCTGTGAACGTACATTCCACTTCAGTGACTAGCGACAATCTGAGTCGCCATGACATGCTCGCATGGATCAATGAGTCTCTACAAATGAACTTTACCAAGATCGAGCTTTTATGTTCAGGTGAGTTGTAATGTATGCTGCTTTGTAGTATAAAGTGCAACAGTTGGGTTCTGGAAGTAAAAAGTCAATTTTTTTCATAAGGAAATTTATGGAAATTTAAGGAAATAGTTGGTTGGCTTAGTTTATGGCTTATATCGCTTTAACAAAGACTTTTTTAAAATCCCTATAAGAAAATGAATGGAAAAAGTATTTCCGGAAACCAACGCTTCTAACGGTGTGCACTAATGCACTTTATAATAATGGATATGTTTTGGAGTAATGGAAGAATTTTATCAATTTATCAACAGTTTTTAATCTGATTTTCTTGACAGGTGCAGCCTACTGCCAGTTCATGGACATGCTGTTTCCAGGCTGCATACCTTTGAAGAAAGTAAAATTTGGTGCAAAGTTAGAGCATGAATACCTTCACAATTTTAAGATATTGCAGGCCGCCTTCAAGAGGATGGGCGTTGACAAAGTGAGTTGCTTAATTTTTTTTTTCCTCAAGCTTATCTGCACACATAGTGTTTGTCTGGTCAAGTTGAGCAAAACAAGAGTTTTGAGAGACTTTTTAGAGATTTAGCAACAAGCCACTTAGGTTTATCAATTTCCATTTTATCGCTAAAATTATATTCACTAGAGTATGCTTTCATTATTGGAGTTTGGATCCAATTATACCTGGTAGACGATTTAGTTTTTTGTTCTTTGATTTCACTACTAAAACAATGACCCTAATAAATCCATGAAATAATATTTGAATGTGTTTTCCCCTTCAGATTATTCCGGTTGACAAGTTGGTGAAGGGCAAATTTCAAGACAATTTTGAATTTGTTCAGTGGTTTAAGAAGTTCTTTGATGCCAACTATGACGGAAAAGACTATGACCCAGTGGAAGCGCGACAGGGCCAGGACACCATGCCTCCACCCAACCCCTCCATGTCTGCCCTCAGCAAACCCAAGAAGATCATGAATGCAGGTTGGTTACATTTCACCGATTGTTTGATCTCAGCATTTAGGATTAAACATATATTTTTATGTTTTATACATCTGCCCAAAACACATTCAGAAGTTTGGGGTCAGTAATATAGATGTTTTTTTGTCTGTCTGTTTGTTTGGTTTGTTTTTTTAAAGAAATTAAAGGGATAGTTCTCCCGAAAATGAAAATTTGCTCTTAATTTGCTCACCTTCAGGCCATCCAAGATGTAGATGATTATTTTTTTCTTCAGGAGAACACTAAAGAAGACTTTTAGCTGAAACCGTAGTCCTTGGTGATTCATTAAATGTCAATTTTGGTCATACCGCCCAGCACTAGCCAAAACGACATTTATTGTTTGAATATTGCTTCTATAAATATATGAGACTTTGTTTCATATTAAAAGTACCAAAGCACAATGCTTATTGCGATATATTGGATGGGAAGTGCCCTTCAACGTTCCGTCCATTAACTGAAAACAGGCTAGACTAATCGATTCTTGGGATTTAAGAATCGATATCGTTCTGTAAAAATGAGAATCGATTAATATGGAAATATCGATATTTTTTACCCAGCCCTAATATCCAGCAGGCATTACATTGTTCATGTGCACTTACATGAATTCTTCAGTAAGATACATGAACTGATCATTCTGTTCTTGCCCTCGGTTTGACTTGCCTAAAACGTCTGTGTTCATTGGCTTACTGCAGTCCATCAGTCTTCTTCTGTTAAGACTGCCACGCCAGCTGCTGTAATTGGTATGAAGATGTGTCTTGGGTTTTTGCGCTTTTAAGTGTCTTCAGTGTCTGTAGGAGATTCAAATGGTGGAACACTTTGAATGTAGTTGCTACACTTTAGTTTATAGAACAGTTTCAGTCTGGTCCCATGTCTGCTGATACATCTCACTCTCTACTTACCATCTGCTCACTGAAGTCTAGTCAGTATAGACAATGAGAGGAGTCAGCTAAGAAATACACATGTGACATGGTTGCTGTCACTGAGAAGTTGACCTTGTTGCAGTCATTCTAGTAAATTGGACGTTTAAATGATTTTTAAAAGTCACAACATTAAATAGTTTTAAGTGTGAACTAACCCACCCACATGGAAAGTGCTAGACTGAAACTTTTCAGAGAAGGGAACGTGATGGGTCTGATATGATTTTAGACTGTTCATGGTTATGTTCATGGACCAGCATAAAAGCTGCATGAAATGGTCTTCACAACCCATCTTGCTTTCATAATCTGACATTTTTCCAAATTAAACTGCATATTCAAGGAGAAAAACAGGGTGTGCTTGACTTAATTCATTCAGAATTGATTAAATTGTGAAAAGTGAGCATCGCCATACCAGAAGTAAATGGGTCCATTATGATTTCATGTTGATTTTATTGCCAGCTTGTTGCTTTCACTTCACTGCAGTAAAATACTTTATTTTCAATGCACTTCAGTGCATTTCAATAACAGGTCCAGTGATGTTCTGTTATACTGTCAGAATGTTATTAAGTGCTTATCGCTATTTCCTGTATTTCAGACTAATTTGTTGGTCTCTTACTACTTATTGCTTATTCCCAACAGCACCACAGAGAGCAGCTGTTGCCAAGGTAACACCCAAGATGGCGCCTAGCTCTGCTAGGAGACCTGGTGCTGGTGGTGATGAGGAAAGGGCGGAGCTTATTCAAGAGGTTTGTTATACTGTGTACACTCTCACATTGTATTAAGGTGCGGTCACAATTTTTGTGAGCAAAATCAAGTTGTTTAAATAGGAATCCATGCAATCAGGAATTGTGCAGGGGTAAAAAGATTTCCCCATGTAAAAAAAAAAAAAAATAGTATATTCTATTTAATAGCGTGAAATGGACACAGGCGCTTAACTTGCTCTTTAAAGTATGTCTAGTGTCTGCACTATTTTTCTCCAGAATTTAAGAGCAATGAAATGTTATACTTGTTTAAACTAGAGTTTCAGGTATCTTTTAAACCCATCATTTGCACTTGTCAACATGCATACAGTACAAGTAGGAAATTTTGTCATCAGCATAGTACTTAGTATGCAAACGTATGCATAAAACCTAAGTATGCTTTGGGCTTTATGACTAAAATGTTTATTTGGTGGCTTTCAGTTAAACATCTTGAAGTCTACGATCCAGGACATGGAGAAGGAGCGGGACTTTTACTTTGGCAAACTGAGGAACATTGAGCTGATCTGTCAAGAGAAGGAGGGTGAGGGAGACCCCACCCTGCAGAGGATTGTGGATATTCTCTATGCCACAGACGTGAGTCAACATAGACCATATTAGTAATTAACAGTGTTCCCACACTTATTGACCAATGAATTCCATGACATCTCCATGACCTTTTCATATATTAATATATATGGTTATGATCCCTGGCCAATTTGGTATAATTTTAGACTTCACCCAAAAATGAAAATTCTTTCACCCTCATGCCATTCCAAACTCTCAAGACTTTCATTTATCTTGAATAAAAATGAAGATATTTTCATCAAACCTGAGCGATTTCTGCCACTTAATTGAAAGTCAATTCCACCAAAACTTGGATTCTTCTAAATAAATACATTGTAAAAGTAAGAATCAAGCAGATTAAGTCTTCTGAAGAGGCATGTTTATTTTATATGAGGAACACATTTAATTTGCTTTTATTCACACAGAGCTCATCAAATATGGTAAAGGGAAGCATAATAGTAATACAACCTTATTAGTTCTTGGATGTCGGGCAAGCATGTTTGAGCTTCTGTTTGCCATTTTGGATGTGCTTTATGACTTCTACCAGTCTCCTTGTGAACTTTGAAGCGGCAAAGTTTGGGTGAAATTGACTTTTTAATGGAGGGACAGAAATCTTTCAGGATTCATTAGATATATCTCCATTTATGTTTAAAAGACGAATAAAAGCCATATGGGTTTGGGACAGTATGAGGATGAGGAAATGATGACAGAATTTAAATTTTTGGGTGAACTGTCCCTTTAAACTGATTGTATTGGTGAAATGAGCTATTAGTAGTCAGCCGTGATTTGTTGCACGATCGAAAGCCTCCAGTGTCAATGGTAAATTAGTAAGTCGTATTCAGATTTTTTTTAGAATTTTACTTCTATACGTTAATTAAAAAAAAAAAAATGTTAGTTTTTTTTGATGGACATCATAGTATTCCCAAGTAACAGAGAAAAAGTGAGTAGACATGTTGCAGATCCACATTAGACGGTCTTGTTCATTCATTTACTGAACTTGTAAACACTGACTAGTGGTTCAGACACTGTGCTGTTCTGGAGAATGTTTCCTGGTTAACAACATCTGCTGTGGAAAACTGGAACAATCTTTAAATGGCAAGACTTTTCTTATCAGATGACTCAGTCTGTCTCTCTCTCTTTGTCTCTTTCTCTCTCGGTTGCTCTCTCAGGACGGGTTTGTCATACCAGACGCTGAGTCAGAGGACCAGGAGGAGTTCTAATGCATGTGATTTGTTGCAGTTTTACCCTCTTCTCACCTTTTTCATTCGTGTCCTCTCCACACAGTCACTACCCCGCCATCCACACATCATATTATGCATTTGGACTTTTCCGAACAAACTTCATACTGAATCCCATTGCATCTGCAAAAGCATGCACAGACACACTTAATGTTGAAAGAACTGTTTTAATGCCCTCAGACCTCTGGCTGCCACGATACTCCTGTTTCTCTCAGAGGAATAGTGTGTTTCCTGTCTAATATACGATCTAATATTGCTTTCCTCTTTCAGCAACTTCAGACACCTGCAAATGTATTTATCTTATTTGAAATGTCTCTGAAACGTCTTGGACACATCCTCTGTAGTGATTTATAGGTGCCGTCTCCCCCCTCACTGCTGTGGTACATATCTGTGATCACGTCTTATTCAGAACCGTACCTTACTGACACAAAACAGAGGGACGGAATGACAAACGTGCATTAGTTCATTGCAAAAACCCTCTCACTTCCTAGTTTCCATTCATGGTTTTGGTGCTTGCTTTAGCATGAGGCAGGTAGCAGTCACCACCGCTCCAGTCTATCCTCAGTGACTGTGCCTTATACAGACTGTTTGGAGGGAGTGGACCCAGTCTGACGTTTGTCTTTTCTTTGTTTTATGGATGTTGTGAAGCGTCGTTTTCGAGTCGACGCCTGTACTAACACTCAGTCGTGCGCTTTGGCCTACAGGATGCTGATGTACTGTGGTGTCACGGTTGCACGAGTTTAAATATTTTTATTATAATTTTATTGCTTTCATTTTAAAGAATTATTTGTATGAAGTTAGTAGCCACTACGTTGGTGGAAAATTTGAGTTGACAAGACAAACACTGCCCATTTTCTACCTGTTTTTACTGCCTTATATTTAATGCGTTTTTCTGTCCTTTCATTCGCACTGTCTCTTGGTAGATGTTTGTAATTCAAGTTATTAAAGTTTTACATTTACATTTTTTTGTTTCTTTTAATTATTCTTTGTAGAAGTAGTAGCAGCAGCAGCAGAATATTGTTTCTTTCAGACAAATCTTTTAAATACACAAGATGAGAACATGAAATCTTTTGAGTTATTTTAAAATATTGCACTCTTTCAAGACCATTCCCCAAAAAAGCATGTCAAGCTGATGATACAAATACAAAAAGACTAAAACTATCAACTAAATGAGCTTTTTAGATGAACGTTTTACTTCTCGCTCATTTTCTAAAAGCCTGAGTTCTGAATTTGATCTATACGAGTTACCTTTTCAGGCAATGCTTGCTCAATTCATTTGTCATTTTTAGGAGATTCAAGGTGATTCTGACTTTAGATCACTGTGCCAGCTCTGACTTTCTCCGACGTGTAGCTTCATTGTTTTCATGTGCACTGGTCATTCTCAATCAATATGAATTTTTCTGTGTGTAGTTCTCAATGTTGCATTTGACATCGATAGCACATGCAAAACCGGCAATCAGAGTTGTTATTGGTGCTATAAATACTTTGACCCTTAAACACTTGCCTGTTTGTGCTAGAAAAGCCTTTTTGCTGGATGTTTTGGTTCATTGGATTAGAAATATTGCTGCAGTTGGGCAAATATAACAGCGCTGGGTCTGTTCTAAATAGGAGACAATAGGAAAACAAGTGACACTCACATTTCTGGGCTTGCATTGACAAATATCCCATTGTAATTTCACATAAGCCGAACTGCTAAATATTGGCATAAGGTGGATGCAAGTAAAAATGTGGAAGGAAGTAGTTTGGAAGCAGGTAATGTCTGTTAAAGGCAGTGATTGACCCTTCCTACCTTCCTTTCAATGCTCTGTGGCCTTTAAGAACAATCTGTAGCGAAGGTACTCAGTACACTGTGGGCCCTCTCCCTGTTTTTGTACTTGCAGGCTGTTAAGAGTTCCACATTTTTAACTGAAGTCCATTTCTTACAATAAAACAGTATTTACATGTCTTTCTGTTGGTGTCTTCATTTCTGGTGATTACAGTTGTCCACACATTTTTGAACAATAGTAAAGACATCAAAACTGGAATGATTCATGTATGTCAGAAAAAATATAAGAGAAATAATTTTAAATAATGCTTGAGTCTGTACACTGGACATGTTGCTTTTCCCTGTATAACTTGGTTAAATGCTCTACTGTTTTCATATTGATGAAATCGCTGATTCATTGTTCTTGTTGAGCCCTATACAGGCTAGGAAACATATGACCACTAGGTGGCAGTAGTGATCAATGCTAATAAAAAGTTAAAACAGTTGGACTGAAAGTACTGAAACAAGTTAGAAGTGAACAACATGCTTGTGCCTTTACGAGGCTGTTTCGCTCTCTGTCTCTCTCTGCTAGGTCTGAGGGTGCTTTCACACTTGGTTCGCTTGCCTGGTCGGAACCCGAGTTCGATTGCTCCCCCCTCCCCCTGCCCCCGCTGGACTGCGTTCATATTATTTTATTTGGGTCCGACTCCCTCGGGTACGGTTCGCGGGTGCGCACCCGAGTTCGGAAGACAGCATTCACATCATCCAAACGAACCGAACTCTGACGTCAATCGAACCCGGGTGCGCACCAAAAGTGCTAGTGTGAAAGCACCCTGAGTAATAGAGCTGCTTTAATGCAGTCATTAGTTGAGGAGGTTTGGGTGAAGCAGGAGAGTTGGTCCATTATTAAAGAGTGTGTGGGAGATTCCAGCTCTTCCTCTCTCAACTGTAAGAACTGTGTGGGACCAAGCGTGAGTTTCACACACCTCTGAAACAGATGTGCCTCTGTCTGAAAACACATGTTTGTTCTGCAGGAATGCTGAAATGTAGCTGCTATACTACAATACAGTTTGGAAGAAAATCTGGTTACTTGTGTCACTTCCTGTTCCTACATGTCATAGAGGATAAATGACACTGTAAAACTTGCTTTTTACTTTTAATATTTAATCCATGACACTTCCGCCTTAATATCAATGAGATCCAATAGTCTGATACCACATGAAAATCTGAGATTGCAATTCTGATTTCTATCTGGAAATAATATTTTAGGGGGACATACTAAATGCTAAGAGTTTCGTTTCAAATTTAAATTTTTTTAAATTAGAAAAATAAGCAAAATAAGATCATTTTAACTTGTGCTTTCAGACTTTTGTATACATTTACTTGGGTAATAATAAACATGTTTTACGTGTTAGAACGAGCCGTTTTAGGAGGGCGTGGTTAACTCTTTAACTTTTATAAAGAATATCTCTTTGGTTTTGAGACTTTAGTGTTTGCAACTTTACAGATCTTCTTTATGCACCAAGAGCTTGTAACACTCCAAAGAGAAACGAAAAATTGAAATCGCATCATATGACCCCTTTAAAGTAAATTGTATGTCTGTAGTTTTTATACATTTAGGGCTATTTCTAAGATTGCTTCCTTTTTAAGGAAAAGTATACTTTTAATACAAAGTACAATTCAGTGTTACTTTATTATTATTTGTGTACTTATATATTATTAGCTTTATGTGCATATTTTCCGTTTTTACTGGTTAGCATTAGTATATATATATATATTTTTTTTTTAGTTTTAGTATTTTATTTATATGCCAAGACAATATTTCTAATTTTAATTTATCATTTAAATTTTTCATCTAATATTTATATTTTATATTATTTCAGCTTTATATAAATGTAAAAATAATTTCAATGGTTTTAGTAAATAGCAACATAGGTGCAATGTGGAAAATGTTACATTCACTCAGTTGTGTTTTTGGCTATACTGTGACTTTACCTTGAGCACAGTTTTGACAGAGTACCTGTATTTTTGCTGTATATTTAACACCCTTGTATGTGTGACAACTGTTGTATGTGATTTCACCTGCTGCAGTCTCTGTCTCTCACTTCTGTTACACATCTGCTGACAGTCTGTTGTTTATCAGAAAGACTTTGGGTTTTCTGTCTCCCATCTTTCTTACTTGTCTGTCAGTGCTTTGTCAGAGCCACTGGACACAGCTTTTCTTAGAGAGCTTATTTATCTCCCTTCAATTACAGAGGTCACAAAACGCCTGTGGCCTTTCCTCAAAAAGACAGAAAGGTCTTAAACTTGCAATGAGATGATGACCGAACTCATTTCATGGAGATACACAACATCCTGGTATCATGTAGTGGAGACTAATCGGTCAGTTTATACTTTCCTAGTATGCAGGATTGCAATTAGTGCATCCCAAGTAATAGTACGTTTAAAATAGTGTTCCAAAGGTCACCAGATGATTTATTATTATGATGCATTTGCATCTTTATAAAATTGCTAAATTTTTTGATATCTCAAAATTTGACTTTGTTAAACTTTATCACAATTATAGTTTAGTTTAGTTTCTTATAGAGCACATACTGCCACATGAGCAGCCCAAAGTGCTGTACTGTACAATCAAAAAACCAAACAAAGACACTAACAAAACACAGCATCATAAACCTAAAAAACATAATACAGAATGGTATTCGTCCTTTGGTGTGTAGATGCTACCACATCATCTCCTCCCACCCATATTTCAACTCCACCATACCAAATACGGAACAGGATGTCACTGGGGACCAGAGGCAGGAAGAAAAAAAATATATATATTAATAATAATAAAATAAATAAATAAAAAATAGTAAAATAACATTTTCTTAAGCATTTTCTTATTAGTGCTTTCTTATCTGTGTTGTCCTCCGCCCTTCCCCAAAATTCTCAATTATTCATATTCAAATACATAAATAAATGAGTAAATAATTAAGTAAGTAAGTGAATGAATGAAAGGGGAGGAGTAAAAAGAAATCAAATGTGTAGATTGCATATGTACATATAAACCATATTCGGTGGTACTATTATAATAGAGAAAAAATATATAATACTAAAACTATACATTATATCAATAATATACATCAGTACATGTGTACATATATACACATACATAAACATATCCACATGCATACTGTATATCTACACATATTATATTCATTCCCCTTGTTCCCCTTCTCTATCTATGTTTGTAAAATTGTTGTAGATGCTAATATCTTGTTAACAGTTTACAATAAGTTTCCGTTGGTTAATGCATTAATAATATTAACAGATACAACTTTTGACTTTGATAATATATTAGTAAATGGTGACATTAACATCAACTATGATTAAGTAATAATGCTTTAGAAGTATTTTTCTAATGTAGTTAATGTTAACAATTGGAACCTCATTGTAAAGTGTCATTATTATCCTTGGTTTAAAGAGGCCTTCTTTTTCTTTTCTTTTTTTCTTCACCATGTTACCACTGTAAGAATTTGTGGTACAGATCATCAATAGCTCCAGTGATGCTGTGATCCAGTGAGAGAGCAGGGTGAAGGGTGACCACTGAAGGGGGTGAAAAGAGTTTGCCTTTTTTATTCTGCCCAATTAATTTATGCGTTACACCAATGACTAAAGACTCGCCCTCCTTCCTCTCAAACACCAAAGAGCTGCAACCATTGTAGCCATCTAAGTAGAGCCCTTCAACATTATCATCTTGTGTCTGAAAAAACCAATCACTCGCTAATGCTAATCACTTTGTTAGGTGTGTGCATGCTAGTGGAAATCCGTGTCTCGTTTATCTCATGTCTGTTGCGTGTGCATGTTCTTTGTAAGATATATACTCTCTCATCATCATAAGGGCTGGCTGAAATGCTTCACCGCTCACTTAGCAAGACCTCCGGCCCTTTGTTCCTTATCCACAGTTAGCGCTCTGATTTTCTCCTTTCATGCAGACTGAACTTCAAAGCATGTGATCTTAACAAAACTGGGGGAAGAGCAAGATGAACCACTGTTTTGTTAAATCGGTTGTTGAAGGGAGTGTGAAAGATGCTTCAAACCTGTATAAACTTGCCACCCAGTCAGACGTGACGCTCACATGCTAACACAATAACCTCTCTGGGAGAGATGCCAGTCCAATAAAACTAGATATCAACTATATGCCTGTAGGCCATATATATATATATATATATATATATATATGCCTATGATGAAATTTGTTTGGATTATGAACGTCATTGGTGCCAGCTATTCGCTCTTTGCTAAAAATACATATTTGTGGAAAGGCTTAGGCTGCTGGAGAGACTTAACTAGTACTCATCATGCCTGTTTGACTCAGGAATTAGGACTTAAACTCTATGTGCTTCAACTGGAACCAGGTTTGTTGGTGAAACTTTAATGCCGCACTCCTCACTCGTGTCTTTGCTAGGGGCTATATAATCGGAGGTCCTGTCTTTTGCTATTTCCTTTAATATGAGTTTGGGTTCAAGAGGATTTTTCTGCTCTTTATTGTTCGTGCTGCAGGATGCTGGTGGATGTTTAGCACAGGATATCTGTCTCTTTCTCTGTGTTAATGCGGAGGTGTTGAGATCCTGCTGTAATTATTAACGTGTGGATTGAGGGGTCTGACACGTCGAGCAAGTGGTGTGTTTGTGTAGGGGGAAGACAAAAGTTGAGTGTGCTTTTGTCTCTTTCACATCAACATGCTCCTCACTATCTCATAATCTATTAGTGGTGTTTGTTAAAACTCACACATATAAAAAAAAACAGCTGAAAAAAATCTCATAGACTTAATAGAAATCAGAATATCATAGAGGCTTAGTGCTGGGCTCTTTTATGGAAGCCCATTTCCACTAGAGTAAAAAGAATACAAGTTCTAGATATAAATATATACAGTAATTAAATGTAAAGCATAGTTATGAATATATTCTATAATGAAAATGATATAAAATACCATAATTAATAATATAATATAATAATATATTAATATAATATGACTATATATCAAATTTGCACCTATTTCTCATATTTAAGACTCTATATCTCACAATTCTCGTGTTTGCAACTTTATCTGGTAGTGACTTCATATCTTAATTACAACTATTTCTCACAGCTGAGACTATTTCTCATAATAATGAAGACAATTATGAGAAATGAAATCCCATTATTGCTTTCCCATTATTATATCACATTATTATTATGAGAAATAAAATCACATTATATAATGTTATATTTATTGAAACTTTATATCGCAAAAGTAGTGACTTAATATCTCAATTGTGTTGTGACTTTCTCATAATTTTATTTCTCATAATTGTCTTCTTATCTCGTCATATCTCATAATTGTCTTCATATCTGCAACTCTATATCCCATAATAGTGACTTATCTCAATATGGCTATTTTTCACAGTTGTGACTTTCTAATAATTGCCTTCATATCTCTCATAATTGCAACTGTATATCATAAATAAGTGACTATATCTCAATTACGACTTTGTCAACATTGTCACTTTTCTAATAATTGTCTTTGTCTCATAATTGCAACTTTATATCTCATATTAGTATCTTCATATCTCAATTACGACTGTTTCTCACAGGTGTGACTTTCTCGTAAATGTGACTTCATCTTGTAATTACAACTTAAATTTTTATAATTTAGACTTTATATCTCACAATGTGACTTTATATCTCATAAATCTTATTTTATTTCTTATAAACTTTAGCTCACAGTTGCTGGTTTTATTTTCCTATTCTTTTGATTTGGGCCTATAATCTACAAAAAACACACACAATAAAGAGTTTTGCATGGTCAAGAATCACTCACAGTTTTATTTCACCATCTCTCATGTGCACACAAGCATTGACTCAGCTCATCCTGAACAGTCCAGCTTGGACATGGTGAAATGTGCTCAGAACCACATCACAGTTAAGATCAGGCCTGTCTGGTCACGTCTGTGTTTGAAGTATATGAAGATGCCACATCAGAACTGTGTTTTAGACACACCACAGCTTTCTCTGAACATATCAAACAATCTCACTGACACTCAACAGATTATCTGAAAGAAAAAATATGTGACTGGAACATGTTCCTCTTGTAAAAAAAGAACAACCCTCGTTTAGTCACTGACCTGCGCTGAGTCTGTAAGGGTGTAACGGGGCATTTCCACATCATTCTCACTCTTTAAAAGAAATCCCTGGCAACCAGGAGGTCACTAAGGCCTCAGTCAAGAAGACTAGAGACTAATACACTGACACAGACCCCTTCGGACAAAAAGAAGCAAACCCCCCTCTCTCTTTCATCTCTTGTCTTGCGAGTTGACTCTCTTGTCCGTAAAGGAAGTATGTGACAGCTGGATGGCATTTCATCCTTCTGTTGTGAGATTTGTCTCTCTCTTCTTTCATTTTGGTCTGCCATGTGGAATGTGTTCTTGTTTGGAAGTGAATAAGAGTTGGGTTGCATTAGCAGGGGGACTCTAGACTTCCAAAGTCAAACCCCAGCCAGTTTGTTGAGATACTCTCCCCTGAGAGCAAAGTTCAGAGGTCAACATGTGTAGGACAGATGAAAATATTAGTGTGTCAGCCTTGAGCTTCATTCATTAAAAGTGACACGAATCAGCAGGGGAGTTCAGAACAAGGCATGTTTGTCTGTTTTTGTCAATGGAGAGCTACTAAATGTCTTCAGAAATCTGGCTGCAATCTCATCCTTACAGTTTGACAGCCACTCGTTGCTGGCTAATTTGATTGCATGTTAAAGATCGGCCTGGACATCCTGCCTTTTCATGTTCCACAGAAAAAAATTAAGTCATATGAGTCTGAAATGACATGAGGATGATTAAATGATGACAGAGTTTTCATTTTGACCAAAATATGACATAGCTTATTATTATGCAGCAAATAAAGATAAACTTGCTGGACTGTATATGAGTGTGAATAATTGTGTGTGTGTGTGTGTTTTATGACTCGTAGTCAGGGGGGCGCCTCTGCTGGGCTGCATTTCAGGTGGCCAAAATGATGGGTGAAGAAAACACCTGCTCCTCTCCTCCCTCTGTCCCCTCTCTCTCACTTTGTTGTTCTCTGGAGCGCTGCCATTTAATTAAACATCAGGTTCTGCAGACTGGAAAATGAAAGCCTGAGTCTCTCTATGAGGTGTGGAGGAATGTGAACAAGCTCTAGTGGGAAATCTCACAGTGTTGGATGGTGTATACTGCACACTCTGATGGGTTGCTGCTCACTATGACAAATGTTACTGGTCTGTTGTAACCGTTGATTTATACTGCACTGATTGGAAACTTTTTAACCTTTGCAAAAACATGTATTGTGTTGCAATAAAATATCATTTTAAAGTATCAGCATAGGCTCTGAGAGTTTTTTAAGCACAGAAATTAAGATTAAGCCCAACAGTGTTTCATCTAGTACAGTAGGCCTATATTATTGAAACAAACAAGATGATCTTTCTATTAGTAACACCACAAAAAAAAGCACAAAAAGCCTTCCAAAAACTGGTAAAATACTTGGGATTTATGTTCACTATATACGCATGCATACATATATATTATGTATATATATATATATATATATATATTCAAAATAAAGGTGAAATACACAATACTGATTATGTAGTTACCAGAGTTTAGTTGTTGTAGTTCTGACATCTACCAGCAGGGGTTAACAGGGTTATACTAACCAGTGAATTCTTGATCTCTTGGATTATGGTATTACCTAAGAATACCACCACCAGTCAAATCTCATATTTTTATGTGCAACATACCGAAAAGTTAAGTCTTATAAAACTGATAGTTTTTCTGCTAGACTTGTCATAACTTTAAAAAAACTGAAAAGTAAGACTGATAACCACTTGGTTAACTGCTAGTTAGTCAAACTAGTTCGTAAGACACAGTCTTAACTGGTGACTATGTTAATGCAACTGGCCCCTGTATTACCTAGCAACCACACTTAGCAACATACATGTTTTTTTTTCATTAATGTTTATTTCTAATATTCTTATTCTTGTTGCATTTGTATCAGTATACTGTCAAAACTGTTCCGCGCATTGTGTAGATTTTTAATTAGGCCTAACTGTTTCATTCACCTTTAATTTTAAGGCCTCGCCCCTCCCCCGACAAAAAAAAAGTCTTGCATTGTTTGTGTGGAAGCTCACATTTGCCGAAATATTATTTAAAACGTACAGGTATTAGTACTGTACATTATGCTGCGAATCGTTCTGGTTTAAACTAAAAGGCGGGGGAAAACATATGTAGCCTACGTGTGAGGAAATATCATATACTGTGTTGAAAAAGACAGTGCACATGAGAACAGCACGTTTTTATTTGAGCTCCATCCTAGTTTTTGTTTAATTTCAAGAACATCTAGCTGAAGACAGCCATGTATTGCCGTGCACTGAATGATTTTACTTAAAAAAACATTTAAGTAAAGTTAAGTTAGCCTACGTGACATAATAAATACATATTTTGCCTTTAATATACTAAGTGGTAACCATTTGTAATACGGTAGACTACTCGAGTCACGGCTATATTAATGATACAGCACGTCCTCTCATTCTACACTAATAATAATAATATGGCTGTGACCGGATGAGAATCAATTCAGAGCTTCTTTGGCTCACTGAAAAGAATCGACTCGGTTATTCATGAATCGGACATCACCTCTCTCATGAACGCACGTATAACGAAGATATAAAGTCTTTTCCTGACACAAAGTTATCTACTGTCTTTAGAAAACGAGTCGTGTAGGCCACATTTATAATACTTTTATGGTGTTATTGCGTCCATTGATTAAAAGAGACATTAAAAAGTATCATTTTTTGTCATACGGAACAACATGGGTGGATAAATGACTGTATTTTTATCTTTTGTTTCATAAATGCGAAGGAATGGGGTCCCCAGCAATGATTATTCATTGGGTCCCGCAGTGTGTGAGAGAGAGACAGGACTGCACACGCACTGCACTGCCCTCTCTCAACACACACACACAGACAGTGCACTGCCCTCTCTGAACTGAACCCAGCAGCACAGAGGCAGAGACCGAGAGAGAAGGTGCCCACCGAACTGCATATCCGCCTATTATTGTGTATTACACACAGAAAGAAACCGAAACGACTTTCCGTGTACTCGGTCTCTCCAGATGTCCGTGATTAACACCACAGCTAGCTCTCAGTGGACGTTTTGACCAGCTGTAACAGTGTTGAGTGTGCGGCACAGGTGAAGATGGCGAGGGGACCGTCACGCGTACCGGTGCTTGTGTTTCTATCGCGGCTGTTCATTGACGCTCTAATGGCGCAGGAGTTTCCCACCAACGGCGTGAACGGATTCAGTCTGCACCCACCGTATTTTAATCTAGCGGAGGGGACGAAAATCACGGCCACGGCGACCTGCGGAGTGGACGAGAACGAGCAGCCGATTCAAGACCTGTACTGCAAACTGGTCGGGGGCCCCGTGTCAGGGGACCCGAGTCAGACTATTCAGGTAAAGATATGGGAAATACTTACTTTTCTAAGGTTTACATTACTAAAAATGAATAAAAGCACACTTTGGTGTTAGTTCGTTTCAGCTATAGCCAATATTGGATTGTATTTGACTTTGTGAAATGCACTTTTTATCGTTTTTATAGGTAAATATATCAGATGCTACCATAGTGCTGAATAATTGCCATGTTAATTTACTTGGTATTTCAACTGGCATGATACACGTACAAAAGATTTATCACTACATTGGACTTATTTCCATAGTACCCAAACATGGTAATATTTATATTTTAAACTTTTGTTGTTAGTCTGTATAAACAAGTCAGGACAGTGCTTTGGGCTTGAGGAACTGTGCAAGATCTTGATCTTTTTTTGAGAGCACCTGCTTAAGGTGAAAAGGCCAGAGATCCCTATATAGAGATATAGTGCCTCACAAGAGACCCCCACTGAAGCTTCATAAGCAGGCTTAGGAGACTCGACTTAGCATCTTGGCGAGTGAGTGAAATGTTTAAACATTTTAAAGAGTAAAACGCAACCCCCGTGTAGCACTGCTACTGGATTTTCCCTGAGGAATGTGTGGCATTTCATATAAGACCTTGAGGGAGACAGACACAGATTTGCACACTTCAAAGAATATGTTAATAAAATGTTGCGACCTGATCAATTGTTGCAGGCACCTCCTGTGGTTCTCGAGACACTATATCATATGCCTGCAGTCCATTTTTACTGCACTTTAACTCGTAATCATTTTAGTTATCAGTATCCTCTAAGAAATGTTGCTTATCCATAGTTGTCCTATAACCATAGTTTCTGCCAAAACACCACACACTGTTATTATTTTATGCAGTACTTGTTTAGGGTGTTCTTGCTACCTTTATGAATTAAACTAAATGTAGTCAGAAATGATTCAGTCATTTTAAATACTATTTTAGATTATGTACTACAGTAAAACCGTGGTGAAAACAAATTAAAATGACAAAGATTTTTGGAAGCACCGTATGAAGGAAATCATATATTAATTTATGATTGTAATAAGAGCAACTATAGCAACTAGTATTTTTTCAGAAACTGTGGTTACCATGGTAATTGTCTGTAAGTAGAAAGGCTAAATTAATTGTTAGTCAAAGGAAATCTCATCAGTCTCTGAAACCTTCACACATGGGTGGTCTCAACATAATTTGGCAAATTTCTGAGCAAGTTCATTCATATTTGTTAGTTTATACTGTTATAAATGAATCTATTTTCCTAGGCAAGTATAAATAGCTATAAATAATAATTAAAAGGGGTTTGAGCAGTTGGATAATGAAGGGAGGGAATTCCTTGGTTTTTCTGATGTTTTCACTAAAATATCCTGCTGAGCAATCCCCTACAAATCCAGCTAAGCAACAAGTGTCTAAAACTATTTGCTGATCACCGTTTCAAAGGATTACTGTATGGTATGTATGCAGCAAAATAACGTTTCACTATGCCTAGTCTGTGCATCTTTTTCAGTCAGTTTCTACAACTCAGCTTATCATGGAATATAAGTTTTCATGTTGTCCTCCAGTCTGCATTATCAGAAATAAACAGATAGAAGGTGAAGGAATTGGAGGGGGAATTCTCCAAGATAGAAAGTTGTTTATTTGCACATGCTCTCTGCATTCACTAAAATAATTATGCAAATCAGGTAGCGGCGCAGACACGGCCAAAAATTAGGTGCTGAATTTCAATTTGCACGCCAAAATTTCTAATTTTGCAGATCACCTGATTTTCACCTGAATCAGCTGGGTTATAACTCTTTTCTTCATTATTTCATCATAATTCGATGAGTCATTGTCATGATTGATAGAACATGTACACATCTAAATTGTGGCGTTATGACATGAACATAATTTACAGATAATTTAGCAGCACCGCAAGATTAGAGCGCATTGTAACGTCTGGATAAACTGGTTTTGTGGATGGTTGGGTAGTAAAAAAGTGTCTTTGCTGAAATACCTGTTAAGTGTTAATTGTTAACTGTTTCGTGAACTCACCCCAGTATAGTGTCAACTAATTTTTTGACCTCAGAGGGGTTAGTTTCCTCATTCAGCTTTCAATTTGTCTAATTCGAACTTAACTAAAAGTAGATCACATTACATAAAGGTGTGATTTACTCCAAGTACTTGTAGAGATATCTTTCAGCTAAATGTTGTGTCTTCCTGTGTTATCAGGGCCAGTACTGTGACATCTGCACCTCCAAAGACACTAACAGAGCGCATCCCATCAACAATGCCATCGATGGCACCGAACGATGGTGGCAAAGCCCTCCGCTCTCCCGCAGTGCAAAATACAACGAGGTCAACGTCACCCTGGACCTAGGACAGGTATGTTACCGGTGCATTCCTTACGTTTGTCTAACTCTCTATCACACCCCCACCCACACGCACATATCGTGTTCAGATTATTCAGCATACAGTAGAGTCATCTGATACTCGGCTACAGCAGGCGCTGTTGTGTTGTGCTGTTTCATATTTTTGTGTTTTTCCAGGAATCTTTGATGAATAGAAAGTTCAAAATAACAGGATTTATCTGAAATAGCTAACGTTTGTAGCATTATAAATGCCTTTACTCTCGCTTTTATTCAATTGAATGCATCCTTGCTGAAGAAAAATATGAAATCTTACTGACTCTAAACATTTGAACGGCCGAGTATATGTTATATATTTAGTCTAGTCGCTCAGTATTATTGCTGTATGTATAACCTGGCTATGTAGTTGTGGTCTCATTCAGCTGAACATGGCTGTAATATGCGACAGACTAAGCCCTGTACAACCTACTTTCTTTTCTCTCTCAATCTCTCTCTCTCCCTCCCCCTCTCTCTCTCTCTCTCTGAATGGAGGCAGAGAGCAGTGACTGGCTTTGTACTGAGTTCTTTTATGCGGCTGGTGTTTTTTCAGTACCACTTAAACCAGCTTGTTAAAAAGCAATGCATGCGCTTTTATACATACATCGCTGAGCAGAGAGAGTGAGAGAAGATGTGCTATATATATATATATTAATGCCATCGACACTTCATCTGAAGAAAATGTGAGTTGCACAGTTGTTTTAGGTGGCTGCCAAGGCATTGCTCTGTGGTCTGGGTGGTTTTTGGCATGTTGCTATGTAGTTGTGCTAGTTGACGAATAATGGTTGCTTGGCCCAGGCAGGTTTTTCACTCATTATAATATGTCATAAGTTTAAAACAGACGTTAGGTCTCTTAGAAGAGTAATAGCACACCTCTCCTCATCATTCCACATGCTTTGAGGAATCATTTACTGTATGCCAATAGCACAAGCAGTGTGGGATGAGTTAAACACCAAAGGTTTAATGGGGTGTGTTCAGACCTATAACTGAAGTATGAGGAGCAGTGATAGTGATGCTGCTTTGGAGGCTTCCTCTAACACAGGTATGAGGCTCCCTCAGAGCAGATGAATTAGATTGGAATGTTAGTTACTCAATATCTGTCTCGACCTGTTCAGGGACGAAACGACCCTCTCCATCACAACCAAAGTTTATGTCGCTCTTCTCTCGCTCGCTCTCTTTTTTCTGTCTGTTGAATGACCCTAGACACTTTTTGCACATTTTTCCTGCTTTCTGTGAACATGAGTGCTGAGGATCTCGAGTAAACAGCCATGACACACATGAATTAATCCTCTAGATGCATTCGAGTATTAACCAGTGTTTATGCGGTCATGTTAGCAAGATACTGTAAAAGTTAAATGAAACATGTTTCGGGTTTGGTGTCAATAAACCAAATGATTTGAACTGATTAATGCTTTTTTTTTCTCATAGTGACCTGAGAATCGATAAGTGAGCTGAGTAAATGTAGTATTTCTTAATCTAAATGCAAATTATATTTAGGTTGTAAATGACTGAAATTGTAAATGTTAGAGATGCTCCGATGTGAGTATTTTAAAACCATAGGCTATAGCATGAAAGCCGATGCAAAAGCTAAGCTATAAACACTTATTGAAAATTGTTTTCCACTTTACTGTGGGACCTCTCCTAGCCAGATGCTCACTGTTAATGTAACCTCATTTGTGTGTGTGATCCCTCAGGGCACATTAGTTTAATATCACTCAGAGTTTAGTATTAAAGACAAAAACAAACTCTGTCTTGCTGCTAATAGCACATAAATGCCATGGGAAATAACCACTGATGTACTTATCTAAGCCTAAACTTGATGATTCATTTCTTAAGCTCTTTTCTGAAGTATTCAGACATCAACCTGTAATTATTTGAGGGAGATCATGGATGGATCCCATCCCATCAGGAAACGGGTCTAAATGATACCCCACACTTTATTAAAACAATAATCAAGCATGTCTTGAGACTTTCATCACTCTTTTAAATATACAGGGTTGTTTATTTCTTATTTTTCCTTCTATTTCTTAAGCATGCTCGTTCACACAAGTGAAATTGCTCGTGCACAAGTTTGCACTTTATGATTAAAGTATATTGCAAGTTCTCAGAACCATTTAAACATTTGAATACCTAAAAATACACTTCTTCCAAACCATAGCAGAAATCCTTTGCCCTTTTCTGGGGCCCTTTTGTTGCAAATGAAACAATAGTTAAAAATAGACAAAGTGTAATCCAGAGCTGCACCGTACTCTGTGTGAGTGTGTTTGAGTATATTGTGGGGGGGTGTTGAGTGGGACTCAATGGGGACTAAAGTGCCCCATTGTGTGCCATGCGCGGAGATGGGCATGATGCCAGTCGTGAGAGCCGGACAGAATTATGTTGAGATCATGTGATCAGGAGCTAGCTTAAAGTGACAGTTCCCCCAAAATGTCATTCCAAAAATGTATGATTTACTTTCTTCTGTTGAGTATAAAAGAAGATATTTTAAAGAATGTTTCAACTAGTTTTTGTCCTTGTAATAAAAGTCAGTGGGGTCCAAAATAAATTTAATCCCATTGACTTTCACTGTATGAACAAAACACTTTTAATCTTTTTCAAAATATCTTTTTTTGTCTTCCTTCCACACATGAAAGAAAGTCATACAGGTTTGGAAAGGGTAGGAAAATGAATTGATTTTCATACATTTTTTGTATGTATAATGACACTAATTTTCCACTGACAGTGCATTATGCCTCAGGTACAAGATCTACCTTGTCAAAGTTTGTGTGTGTGTGTGTTTTCCATAATCCCATGTATGGGACGTCCCAGTGTGTGGCCTGCATACCTTGGCAAACAAAGTTCCCATTGTGCAGTTCTCAGCATCTTCCCTTGCTTTCCCCTTACTTTTTCCACTGGAAAGTCAGACCTGTAGATCAATATCCAGAATGAGCTGATATTTTAAATAAATGTCTCTTCTGAGATACTCTTGCTCTTATGCATGCATTTTATGATGCATCTGTCCTCTTGCACTCCTCCTTCACTCTTTTTCTGTTTAAACTGAAGTTGTGTTGTTCATGTATGAAAGTGCCCCATTGTGTGCCATGCGCGGAGATGGGCGTGATGCCAGTCGTGAGAGCCGGACAGAACTAAAGTTTTCCTGTCATCGAGTAAGGACTGAGTTTATCCAATGGCAAGGCTATAGAGCTGGATGTATTGATCTCTCACTCATTTTTTCTCTCTCTTGGTCTATTAAAATAGTCAGTTGCTCGCCCTATCCTTGCCTGGCATCAGTTTTCCTGCCATTATGTAGAGATCATGTGATCATGCTCTAGCTTAAAACTACAGTTCACCCAAAATGTAATACCAAAATTATATGACTTACTTTCTTCTGTGGAACACAAAAGAAGATATTTTAAAGAATGTTTCAGCTATTTTTGTCCATATAAAGAAAGTTAGTGGGGTCCAAAATAAATTGACTTTCACTGTATGGACAACAGTTGTGTTGTTCATGTATTCCAGTAATACACACGCTAACAGATGCACACCCATGCATGCATATACAAATGTCCACCCTTTTTCTCACCCATGCTTTCATGTTGTTTACCAAGCATGAAAATGGGCCTGTTAATGGGAGAGAGAAGAAAAGACAATGCCGCACAATCTGACTATAATAGGAGGGAACCATGGAGACAAGGGCACAAGGAAAAACTTTATATGATCCAATCTTTCCTGTTAGTCAGAGCCCTAGTTGCCCTTCCCTTTAATATGAGCAGGCTTGTACATAACAGACGTCCATGAGAGTGTCTTGTGCATGAGTGTGAACCGTAATTAATTTCTGAAACAGCAGGGATCTGAACTCCTGGCTTGGATTCTTCGGAGCCCTCTACCTCGACTTTAGCCATCGATCATGACGGACGGTTTTGTCTGCGGCTTTAATTTAGCCCCTTTCCCCCAGCATCCCTGTTGGCAGCGGCTTCATTATGACCCTAAAGAATCATATCAACTTGTGGAAAATGGGCATCCTATGACCCTTTTAAATCACAGATGCATATATCTTCACTGACACCGAACACACTGCTGATCTCTGCTCACCTCCTATTATTTATTAAAGGGGCCATATTCTACACTTTTGTAGCATTTTATTTTTTTTCCCAGAAATCCCAGGCTTCTGGTGCCAAAAATGTTGTTGTACATGACCAAAAAGGTGCAAACCCTCTTGCTAACCCACAGAATAAACAGATTGCTTTTGGTACTGTATACCTTTTCAAAATTAATTCTGTATTTGAATGTCTGTTATGATTGGCTAATCTCTGTTTATCAGTGTAGCTCACAAAATTGTTCATGAGGGCTAGTCAAGTTGCTGAATACTGAATAGGGGTAAATCTATAAACGTGAGCAGTCATATGTTAAAGGAACACTCCACTATTTTTGAAAATAGGCTCATTTTCCAACTCCCCTATAGAGTTAAACAGTTGAGTTTTACTATTTTCGAATCCATTCAGCCGATCTCCGGGTCTGGCGGTAGCACTTTTAGCTGTAGCTTAGCATAGATCATTGAATCTGATTAGACCGCTAGCATCTCGCTCAAAAATGACCAAAGAGTTTCTATATTTTTCCTATTTAAAACTTGACTCTTCTGTAGTTGCATTGTGTACTAAGACCAACAGAAAATGAAAAGTTGAGATTTTCTAGGCCGATATGGCTAGGAACTATACTCTCATTCCGGCGTAATAATCAAGGAACTTTGCTGCCGTACCATGGGTGCAGCAGGCGCAATGATATTACGCAGCGCCTGAAAATAGGCTAACTTCCGCCAACATAACCAATGTGACCACCTGCTGGCACAGGGAGCGTGCTGGGGACTATTTTCAGGCACTGCGTAATATCATTGCCCATGGTACGGCAGCAAAGTTCCTTGATTATTACGCCAGAATGAGAGTATAGTTCCTAGCCATATCATAACTCAACTGTTTAACTCTAGGGGAGTTGGAAAATGATTTT